TACACGCACGAAATCAATTTTTTTAAATAAAATTTGGATCAACTCGGCGGTAAAAAATCGATATCTTTTGACCATAATGTTCTATCTAAAAAAAAATCAAAATGTGTTTTAAAGGCGAAGAGTGCTTCTTTCGTATGCAATTTTTGCATGTTGATTCAAATGAAGTCTTTTTTTATAAAGCTGTTAAATAAATAAACGTTGCGCGATTTTTGACATTTTTTACGATTTTCATGAGATTAAAGAAATTTATTATTTTCATTGAAAGATTGCTATGGAATTTCTATTGTTAGATCCTAATTTTCAAAACCTATAGCATGAAATTTGGATTTTCGAGTTTTGGCAACAAATATGGGGCATTTGAAATATGACTAAATGTTCGGTAATCATTCATTGGTAGACGAGCCAGGTCGAGCTTTAATTGGTTCATGTCCTTTTCCCTGGTTCCCTTTTCCCCTCGTTACATGTGGCAACGATGTAATTCGGCATTCGGCATAAACATGGATTGGCTTCTAGAGAGAAGCGAGAGACAGTTGGTTGAACGAAGATATGCGACCACGTTGGTGACCACGTGCAGAAGTTATCGTGAAAAGTTTCGTTTCGTGATATGTTTGCCGGCCAAAATATCGTGTAAGTACCTATTTTTCTTTTCCTATATTTTTGCTACCATTTATAGCTCGATTGGATATTATCAAAAAGACCTACGGAATTTACACCCATTTTTAAATCTCCTCCGCTTGTAGCTATCGAAGGAAAAAATTTTGCTATGAAAAAAATTTACATATGAGTCTAAAGGCTGAATTTATTTTCTTTTAGACAATTACTTTTCATATTCGTACACTAAAAAACCCTAAAACTTTCACATTTTAAATGATCTATCACATTTAAAATTGCTCTTTTTATTGTACAAGTACGTTTTTCGAAACTAATTAACATCAGCCTCAAACTCCATCTAATACTGTCTTCGTAGAAGTATTTTCCGTGACGTGAGATCGTTTGTAATGTGAAAGTTTATATTCAGCGTTTTTAGGCATATTTTAAATGCCTCATATTCATCATCATCAATGGCACTACAACTCTTCGTGAGTCTTTGCCGCGTTTACTATTGCCTTCCATGTTTGTCGGTCCTGTGCCAGTAATTCTCATTGTCGCACTCCCATCTTCTCTAGATCTTCTCTGACTGCATCTTTCCACCTTTTTCTAGGCCGCCCTACAGACCTTCTTCCATCTGGCCTTTCCCAGAACACATTGTTTATAAGGCGACTGTCGTTACTGCGTATCACATGTCCTGCCCATCTGAGTCTATTAACCTTTATATATCTGACTAGATTTTCTATTCTGAATAGAGACTCTAGCTCGTTATTGTATCTGCCCCTCCATTTGTTTTTCATGCTGTCTCTGCAAGGGCCATATATCATTCGAAGAATTTTATGTTCCCATACCAGCAATTTATTTACTTCTCTTTTTGTTATCGTCCATGTTTCGCTTTCATACGCGACTGTTGGTCGTATTATGGTCTTATATATCCAGATCTTTGCACCTCGTGAAAGAAGTTTCGATTTCATCAGATGTTGCATTGCAAAGAAAGATCTATTTCCTGCCATTATTCTCGTTTTAACTTCTCGCTCTAATTTGTTGTCATGTGTGATTGTTGCTCCTAGATATTTAAATTCTTTAACCACTTCGAAGTTCGAAGTTGTCATATTAATGGCCTCATATTAGTTGTCAAAATAATGGAAATTCCACAGCGACCAATTAGTGGAAGTGATAAATTTTATTGATCTCATGAGAATAGTAAATAATGACAGAGACACCGCGCAAAGTTTATTTATTTAATAGCTTTATAGAAAATAACTTCATTTGCAGTATAATACATTTTTATTTGCATATAAAAATTGGATATAATGATGTTGATGAGTCTTTCTCTGCTCAGTAGAATTCTCTCATCCACATCTTCTACAGCGTGTTAGAAACTTGTTTAAAATATATATTCAAGAAAAGAGGGAACAGTGTACATTACTGTCGTACTCCACGGTATTAATACGAGATCTTTTAAAGTTACCTATTTTTATATTCGAACTTATGTCATTGTTTTGTTTAGACAAATGTTAATTTAGTAATGGTAAGTTACGTTTTCAATAAATTAAACGCACAAATAAATTTAATGTTCATTAATTGCAAGTTTTGATTTTCCACCACCGCCCAATAATTTCCTATGATCCAATAACACAATGAAACTAAAATCTAACATCCGAAAAAATTCTAAAGGCAATAATAAAATTATTTAAAATTTCAATGAAAACAAAACCATTCTAAAACATTTTCTTGTAGCATGTTTAACACAGGTACTTTGTAGATGGGATTAAACCACAACTAATTGTAATTAAGATTATTTTTTTATTTCTTTTGTCGTTTTGATTTCCAATTAACCCTGGGTGTTATGAGCGCGATGACTGGGTGCCAGTGCCACAGCCGGTCCCAAGCCCAGATAAAAGAGGAGGGTTGATGGGCCAGGTTAGCATCCTACCCATTGTAAAAGAAAACAAGGCTCAAAGAACCGATATAAAGCCTCGGAGCCAGACAGGACCTAAGATGACAAACACGCAAAGAAAAGAAAAACGAGAAGGAAAAATAAGTCCACAATCATATTAGCAACATGGAACATTACTTCTTTCAACAACAGACATTTGTGCAATCCAAGAAACCAAGAAGAAAGGTAAAGGCCAAAGAGAATATAACCAATATTTCCCAGCATACAGTGGAGTGAAAAAAGAAGAACAAGTACGAGCAAGCGTAGGTATACTTGTCCATAAAAAATTTAAAGACAGCATAAATAACTGCTGTTATATCTCCGAAGGAATAATACATATGAACATCACAATAGACAACCAAAAATTAAATATCATATCTATTTATAGCACCGAGGACTGCAAACCTAAGGAGGAACGAGAGGCATTCTACGAACAGAAGAGCCCTTGATTCTTATAGGTGACTTTAATGTACGAATCGGAAATTAAATAGTTCCAGCAGTAAAACAAAGATTTAATGAAAACCATGTCAACGCAAATTGACAACTCATGGCTAATCTCTGTGCTTTTAACGAACTGAGAATATATAATACATTTTTCGACCACAAACTCCAGTATAAATATACATTTAAAAACTCCAGGGGGCATAAATCTATAATTGATTTTATAGTCACTAATAGAAAAATTCACCCAAAGCAAATTCTAGATATCTGAACTTTAAACTCAGCAGACGCAGGGAGCGAACACAAACTAGTACTAGCAAAGACACGAATGAATAACACCAAAACAAAATTTTCTACAGGAAATCACTGAGGAAAAATTCAATGTAGAATCACTGTGGAACGACTTTACAAGAGAAATGAACCAAAAGAGTCTAGCACAGAAGATACAGATGAAATAAATAGACGACATCGAAGACATAAACACGAGCTGAGAGAAAATTAAAAACAACATTGAAGAAGCAGCAACAGAAGCTCTAGGAAAGCGCACAGTCATACTGAACAAAAGAAACAACAACAATAGACCATGGTTCAGAAAAGAAATAAAAGAGAAATGTAAAGTGAAACGAGAGGCGTGCACGAAATACAAAACATGAAATACTCCAGAATCCCGAGACAACTATAGAAGAATAAAAAATGAAACAAAGCAGGTGGTAAGAAGAACAAAAAATGAACACTGGGAACAGTTTACAAAAAGAATGGAAAAGATATCTGAAGAAACTGCTTAAAACAAAGGAAAATAATAATCAACACAATAACGTACCAGAATTAATATACAAAATAGAAATCAGTTTTCAGGTTTTATTTTTGTATTTCTCGATATAATTGTGGATTTAAGAGAAGGTTGAGCTTAAAATAGCATTTGTTGGCTGTGCAAATCCTGCGGTAGTATTATTTTGAGTGTTAAGGAGCGCTCCCAAGTATACAAATTCGTTCAATCCTTGGATGATGTTTTCTATAACAAATGGTCGTGGTAATTGTGGTTACGTGTTTATCTTCATATACTTCGTTTTGTTGGTGTTTATTATTAAACCCATTTTTTTAGCTGATTCTTTTAATGCTACCTACGCCTCTCGCACAGCGTTTTCCGTTCCCCCAATAATAATGATATCATCAGCATAGGCCAGGATTTGCACTGATTTATTATATATTGAACCAGTGGTCGTGATTTGTGACATACGTATTACTTTTTCCAGAGCTAGATTGAACAGTCTACAGGCGAATCTCCCTGGCGTAGTCCGTTATTTGTTTTAAAAGGTTCACACACTTTGACGTTTGACAGTGTTAATGGCGCATGCATGAAATAATCAATTGGGGAAGGGGGAGGCTGTACTGACAGATAAATTTAACGACTTCGTAAATACTTTTGTATTTACAAGTAAGCCACTTCTCTCTCTTACAAAAAATGTACGCCATTAGAAGGCCAAGAATGTTATTAACATTTCTTGGAATTTAGTGTCTACAATATCGGGAGTAAGCTATATTAAAATGCTTTTAGAAGTAGAGTGCCTTTGGTTCAGTTCTCTAGAGGTGAATTTTCCAAATCACGAGCAGGTGTGTAGTGGACGACTATCTAAAACATATATACGTAACTCAAGAACCACTTTTAATATGAGCGCAGGTAAGACCAACCTTACGGAACAGATCCTATATAATAAAACACTTGCAAACTTGGTTGGGCATCCTTCTGATATGTACAGGCTATGAATTGGCGATCGTGTCTATTGCTAGAATGGAAAAGGGATCGAAAGGAAGGGGAACAGACGGATTAAGCAGATTGCAATATGAATGAAAAGGAATTGAATTTGGCTCCACAGTGCTCCTTTGGCTCCTACAAAAACAGTGACAGTTTTAGTAATAAGATGGCGAAAATTGTAGAACCATTGTGAACCATTGTGAACCATTGTGAACCATTATGGAAACTCTAATTTGAGTTAGAGAAAGTTATATACAGGGTAAAATAAAACAATAAAAATCAAGAAACAATTATATAATAAAAACAATAAATCTTGTTACAATAAATAAGAATCTTTATGTTTATAAATATATAAAGCTATATAATTCAAAAAAATTAATAAAAATAAAGCTAAGTATAAAGAAAAATTTGCTAATAAAATTACCTAATTCGTCTTTATTACAAAGTTCTAGAACTCTTTTACGTACGATGATTCTTCCAGTCTTTATATTTGGAGACAATATTTTATTTTTATACATGAAAAATTTATAAAAAAAATTTAACTAGATTTAATGACTACTTCTGTCAAATATGGAGTTGTATTGTTGGATAAAGTTTGACAAACGCTCATCTGAAAATTAAAACGTTTCCTGAGTACACAATCTACAATAAACTGATGCATCAAGATTAACATTTTGATCTATATGTGTTGAGAAAAGGTGTGGACTTTTCAAAACAACTTTGTTTTAAAGTTTTTTAACTCTAACTAAGACCATTTGAGATGTGGTCATTGTCTGATTAAGTTAATAAAAATAGTCAGTCATGTTCACTACAGCATGGGCAATTTTCTTTTAGCTGTTAGCTAATCTTACCGGGAGCCTGACTATGAGCAATATAATACAGTGCTAAAGTCAACAATTTTAACATTTTTATCCACTTTGTACAAACAAAGTGGATACAAATATATAAAAACATAAATGGAAAAACTACTGTGGGCAATATAAAAATGCTAAAAATGACAGAATGTTCGGGTTATTAAGGAATTTTACAAATATAACGTTTTAAAACATCTTTAGGATGCACGGAATATTTGTAAGTTGGTAAGACATCTTATGCTTTTATGAATATAGTAAAAAATCTGTTTAATAACTAACCTTTTTGGAAAACAGCCTCAAATTCAGGATTGTTTTTTAAATAAATGAGAACGCTATGTTGAAGAGTGACATCTCCATCTTGTTCAGCAGCCGTCAAGAACTTCCTAGGGTTCGCAGCGTTGTCTGCTAGTTTTAAAGCTGTCAAAATTTGGCCTTCGCTCAACAATACTTCCTGGATTTCTTCTTTCGCGTCCAATCTTGTTAGCATATCCAGCGCCATTTGGGAGGTGCCAGAGTGCATGTTTCCTAAAGAGAGTAAAAGGCATGCCAAAGATTTGGAGTCGGAAATTACGCCGTATTGAAGCATCTGTTGAAGTACTGTGAACTTCTTTTGTCTAGCCTGGAAGGAAATTGTATATTTCTGTAGTAAAATTAATACAAAACATCCAATTGTGGGATAAAATGGATAAAATCAAATATCAATATAAACAGAATACAAATTATCTCAGTACTTTATTGGCACCAATCGGGAAAAATTGAAATAGAGCACACAACATCCGCAGATATACGAATCTGACGAAGAGTGCGACAAGGTTGCGTCTTGTCACCGCTATTATTGATTCTGTATTCGGAATCTCTATTCAGAAAAGCATTAGACGAGGTTCAAGGTGGAATCAAGATTAATGAAACCAGCATAGATAACATCAGGTACGCTGATGATATTATCCTAATAGAAAGCAATGCGCAAGAACTATAAAATATAATAAATGCGATAGGGCGTCATAGCGAAATATTCGGTTTACATCTAAATGTTTCCAAAACTAAAATTCGAGTATGTTTAAAGATACCAACAAACGTACATTTACAAACAACAAAGAGAATAGGTAACTTCCATAAAATATTTGGGATCAAATATCAACAGCCAGTGTAATCCAAGAAAAAGAAATCCTATCAAGAATCGAACATGCGAGGAAAACACTCATGAACATGAAAATATTTTTTACAAGATCACTTAGTCTACAGCCCAGAATTCGAATGATCAGCTGTTACGTTTTCTCTGTTTTGCTGTATGTCTGTGAAAGTTTCACAATGGACTCTGAAACAGAAAAAAGAATAGATGCCTTTGAAATGTATATATACAGAAGGATGCTGAGAATTCCATGGGTACAAAAAGTTGCCAACGGTGAGATACTTCGGCGCATGAGCAAATAACAAGAATTACTCAGCATAATAAAAAGAGGAAAATACAATACTTGAGTCATGTGTTGAGTGGTGAAAGATATATATTACTCTAAATCATATTGGAAGTTAAGGTGCAGGGCAAAAGATCAGTTGAAAGACGCCAGAACTCGTGGCTAAAAGACCTGAGGATTTGGTTTGACCGCTATTACACAGAAATCTTTCGTGCAGCAATTTCCAAAGGCACATTTACCATTTGGATCGCCAATCTTCGAAAGGAAATGGCGCACTAAGAATATCCCATTTGTAAAATAAAGCATCAGAAACAATATTGAACAATGTGAGAAGAAGAATTTTGAGAACAATTTTGAGAATTCTTACTACCTACAACCGAAGAGATAAAATTAATAAGTAGGGAAAATACCTGACTAATACGTGTGATAAACGTGCTGAGGAGGTCCACCGTCACAGTAATTCGAAGAGCACCTACCAGCAAAGCGTGAAATATAGGGAGGATATCTACGGAAACACATCTAATCCCTCTTTTCTGCTAGTAAGTGGAGAGAAAATTGGGTCCGTAAATGTGGACGATGCGATAGTAGAATCCATATCCACCAGCACCTACTCAAAGGATATTAGACGAGGATCATTTCCACCAATAAATAGGAAAAAATCACCTATCTGCGAATAAGTAAAGTTATGGTCAACTGTTACAAATATGTTACTTGCGGAATTAAGAAAAGGTTGAGCAATTTTATACAAAATAAAAAATATTAGATATAGCTAGCACAAAATGCAGCTAACTCTAACAGCTAATCAGAACTCGTAAAGCCGTTAGGGACTTTCTCACTGCCAGGTGGACTTTTACTTAAAATGCAGTGGGGACGGTAATTGGTCACCTTTTGATTGAGCGTCCGACAACAATTTGAAAGTCAACGACTCTTTATACAGTATATAGATTTGTTATTGGTGGCTCCATCTATACGCCAGTGTGGGAAATTATTTTAAATGGTGTAACACAACTTCATGACGAGTGTTCTGGGTCATTCCCTTCTCGGTCCATTCAATATTATTAGCTTGCTGTCTCCATTAACTGCAATCCTGTGCCATATGAACGGCTTCATGTGGGGATTTTCCCACCAGAGTCTTTATTTGGACTGCCCTTTGTGTTGGAGATCTTCCTCTTTCTGGGCCATTAGCTGGACTTGAATTAACCAAGTATTACAAATGTTTACAATTAACTATGGTCCAGTACAATGGTATCGATAAACCAACAACTTAAAACATGGAGACTATTATTTTGGCCGTGTTCTTCTTAAGGATTTTAGCTTTCACAGCATCTTATTGAGAATAAATTACATAAAAGAATATACTTAACGTTTCGACATTTATAAAACAAGTCGAAACAAAAATACTTACCAAACAAGTCACTAGGAGTTCGTTTAAATTATACTGGGTGAGTATGCTACATTCCGAAAGGGAAGTCAAATAGCTCACTAGCAACCACTCTATTTTAGCCATATCCTTTTCGGTGTCTAGTTTCTGGAATATCTCGTTCATCATATCCTCTTGAGTTATCAGTACCCTTGGTTTTTGCTGAGTGCTTTTTGGAGTTACTGGAACATTAGCGGGAGAGGCTATGTTTGGTTGCAATTCGGCTTCGATAAAGTCTCGGTATATGTTGTTGATGTGGGTAAAAGATTCTTGAAGTTTGTCTAGTTGTAGTTTTTCTTGATTAATATGATTCATAAGTACCTGTAATTGGCAAAAAAAATTAATTTTTATGGATAAATTAATAAAATAGAAAGTGGTTCTGTTGGATATATGATAAACTTTATTAGGCATGGTCGAAATACTAAAAAGAGACTTCACCCAGACTAAAAATTTATTCTTCAACTTCTACACTTTTTTGAACAACTTGGCTCACATTTTCTAGTGGCAGGGGACTGGAATGCAAAACATACAACCTGGGGAGCAAGACTGATATCTCCAAAAGGCAGAAATCTATTAAAGATCGTACAAGATAATAACCTGAAGTACCTAACAACTGGTACTCCTACATACTGGCCAACTGATAACAACAAAATTCCTGATCTGTTAGACTTTGCTATAAGTAAGGGAATACATGAAATACACAGCGACATCACCCCCAGTTTTGATCTACATTCGGACCACAGTCCCATCTTGATTACCTTAAGTACCAATATAATTTGGAAAACTCTTGCACCAAGGCTATGTTCCAGTAATACGAATTGGGTTCAATTCAAAGAAGAAATCAATGAAAAAATATCTCTTGACATTCGACTCAAACACAAAAATGATATTGAAGAACTGTAAAATATCTAACGGAACAAATACAACAGGCCGCTTGGAAAACTACTCCTGTAAAGGAAAAAACCATTGATGAAAGGTATAGTATACCCCTCCACATTAGAATACTAGTAGAAGAGAGAAGAAGAGCCCGTCGCAAATGGCAAAGAACAAGAAACGCGATAGATAAAACAAATCTAAACAGGCTCACACACAGACTTCATTCCGCTATCCAAACAGCCAAAAACGAATCTTTTGAAAGATATGTCGCAAACCTTTCTCTTGACGACAACTCTCTTTGGAAAGCCACAAAGAAACTCAAAAATATTAATACTCAATATTAATGACGAGAAAATTAGAGATTTCCTTAATGCACCCTGTCAACTATCATTACCACTAAAATACTTCTCACCAAACAAAGTCCGTAACCAATTTACGTGCTTAACCCTCATAAAGCTCCTAAATTTGACCTTATAAATGGCGAAATCTTATAAAAACTCCCAAGAAAAGGTGTCGTCTTAATAATCATTATTTTTAATAGCCTCCTGAGACTATGCTATTTTCCAGTGCAATGGAAGTATGCACAAATTATAACAATACTGTTACAAACTGAAGCCAGTTCGTACAGACCAATAAGTCTCCTTCCAACTTTATCAAAAGTCTTCGAAAGGTTAATCCTTAACAGAATGGAAACAATAATACCTATAGAAAACCTTATCCCAGATCATCAGTTTGGTTTTCGCTCAAATCAGTCAACCATACAACAGTGCCATAGATTAGTCAACAAAATAAAAGAGAGCCTAGAAGGGAAACAAATCTGTCTATCAGCATTCCTCGATATACAGCAAGCATTTGATAGAGTGTGGCACGAGGGTCTTCTGTTTAAAATAAAAACTCACCTAACTGACCAAATCTACCTCCTTCTTAAATCATACTTGTCCGATAGATACTTCCAAGTTAAATACGAAGGTGCTCTATCCAACTACCACCAAATAAAATCTGGAGTACCTCAAGGCAGTGTACTTGGCCCATTCCTTGACCAAATCTTCACTGCTGATATTCCTATTAGCGAAAATACACTAATGGCAACATTTGCGGATGACACTGGTATACTAGCATCAGATATCAATGAAATATTAGCATTTAACAAATTGCAAAATCATCTCAATGAACTAGAAGACTGGCTTAAATGCTGGAAAATAAATGTCAACACAAAAAAGTCTTGTCAAGTAAATTTCACAAATCGAAGAATTAGATGTCCATAACTACACCTAAATAATTCAGCTATACCAATAAAAACAGAAGTAAGGTACCTGGGCCTTCATCTAGACGAAAAACATACTTGGAAATCACATATTGCAGCCAAACGACGACACCTCGACCTAAAAGTTAAAAATATGAGCTGGCTAATCAACAGAAGATCGCAACTTTCATTAGAAAACAAACTAACCATCTATAAAAAAATACTCAAACCAGTGTGGATATACGGAATTGAGCTGTGGGGCTGTAGCAAACCATCCAAAACCAAAATACTGCAGACATTCCAGTAAAAAACTATTCGTATCTTAGCTAAAGCCCCATGGTATGTGTCAAACCAAACCCTGCATGCAGACCTCAACATCCCCTTCATCAATGATGTGATTGCTGACCACTCCAGAAGATACATGAATCTCAGCGCAGACCATCCAAACCATCTCATAGACGAATTATTCAACCCCCCATTGGTTGACAGACGTCTAAAAAGACTTTGGCCAGAAGACCTAGCTGCTAGGTAAATTTCAGAAGTCGTCAATGGACGACACCTGCCACAAGCCAAGAACATACATCATATTTACTTATTACTGTATTGAAGTAGATTGTAAATTAGCAATAAATAAATAAAAAATCTTTGAATCTCTGAAGATTATTCAACGAAAATTAAAGATTGTTAAAAACAGAAAGCAGCTCGTTTAGATTATTTACTCAGTGTGTATAAATTTATATTAAGGCTTATCCTAGAAAATTGTAACGGTAAAATTCAGAGAGATATCTATTTCAAAAATATCTTTCTTTACAAAAACAAAATCCATTCACGAAGAATATTCTAAACGTCATCTTGTACTAGACGTTACCTTTATGGCTTTATACCTACCTTATACAACCCCCTATTGTGTAAAGTCTTGGGTCTATACAACGAGTGGGCGGCCTTCTATTCAGTGCGGTTTTGAAATAATGTTGAATAAAAACATTCATGAAATTAAAATGAAAGAATTTACGTCTATTAGTAGAAGTGCGATTTATGAAATTAGTACTTGAAGCATAAATCGCGGGAGGAATATGTGCATCAGTTTTCAAATATTTATTATTTACTATATAATTTCTAAATTGAACCATTTTCACTTCTTTAGTTAACAATGTATCTGTTTTGACAACTAAATAGGTAATTAGACAAAATAATTATTAATTTCAAAACAGGAGTTTAAAGAATTAGAAAGAGGTAGCCCGGGCCCAGTTAAATGGTCAAGCTTATTCCAGTGGAAGCAATAAGGAGGATTATTTTTCGTTTTGGCACATAAAAATTCCATAAAAATCAGGAAATTAGAATACTTGGGGCACATCATACATCACACATCAAGACGTAAAATCTAGTGGTTACGCAATCTCCGTGAATGCTTTGGATGCAATTCAACTGAACTATTCAGGCGCATATCCAACAAAATGATAATTGCCAGAATGATTTCCAATATCCGATAGGAGTGGAACTTGAAGAAGAAGAATAAGTACATTATTATTATATCATATTATATATATTTATATAATATATGATATACACGATATTGAAAGAGGTTACAACATAGACAATCAACAAAATCTACATCGACTACTACACAGTGAACACCCAACGATAATAGAAGTGTCAAATGCCGTCCTAAAACTCAAAGACAATAAAGCCACAGGAATCGATTAAATCTGTTTTTTTTTTGCAGTAACCCATAAACTAATGGTACTTATATGGCACAAATGAATTTGTGCCATTTGACTTCTGGTACAAATGAATTTGTACTAGAAAAGTGGCTAAATGAAATAATATACGTTGCATAAAAAGGACGATTAACTGGATTGTAAGAACTATAGAGGCATTACTCTGTTAGCATCTTCACCTGTTAGCACCCTGCTTGGCAGGGTCACATATCAGATCAATTTACGGTTGCAAAAGGCTTGAGACAGGGAGATTCTTTATCCACTACATTATTCAACTTAGTATTAGAAACTGTAATCAGAAAATGCAGCATGAGGATGGAAGAAACGATCATGAAAAATGAGCACCAGTGCTTGGCATTTGCTGATAATCTAACGATCCTAGCAAAAACCGAGTAAGAATTAAGAAGAGTTGTGAAGAAAATCATCGAAGAAGCACAGAAATTTGGATTGGAACTAAATGAAGACAAAACTATTTATATGATCATGGAAGGAACAGAAGGGAAAAAAGAAGACTTTAGTGTGAGGTCAGTAAGTGGTAAAAGCTATAGTTTTAAAAGGGTGGACAAATTTAAATACCTAGGTGTAGTTTTCGATAAAAATGGAAAAGAGAAATGGGAGCTCGTAGCCAGAATAGCAAAAGTGAATAAAAAATTAGGTGGTTTAAGAGCCCTACTGAACTCAAAATACGTTTCTAGACAAGGTAAACTCAGAATATATAAAACAGTAATTCCACCCACAGTAATATATGCCGGTGGGCCTGGACATTAAATAAGAAGGAAGAGGATACTCTGGAAAGATGGGAAAGGAAAATATTGAGATGCATATTCAGAGGACGGAAGGTAGAAGATGGTTGGGAGAGAAGAACCAACAATGAATTAATGGCTTTATACAAAGAACCTACTATTACCAAGTTCGTCAAGGCACAAAGAATCAGATGGTTGGGACATGTGGAAAGAATGGCAGCAAACAGAATTCCTAAACTAGTAATAACCAGAAAATTAATCGGCCCCAAAAGAAGAGGTAGACCCAGAACGAGGTGGATTAGTAAAGTGGAGGAAGACCTTAAACACGTGAAGGTGAGGGAATGGAAAAAAAGCATAAAATAGAAGCGAATGGAAAAATATTGTACACCAGGTCCTTCAGAGTAGTTAAGAATGTTATATATACATATTTAAGTTAAAGTTTTGTTTAAAATAATTGTAATTAGTTAATATTAGAATTATGTTGTAAAAAAATGCTCTAGGCCTTAACGGCCTGTTGTGCGTATAAATAAATAAATAAATAATAGAGTGCAAAAATCGAAAGAATCGCGTTTTTTGCATTAATTGTTAACCATTAAAAAACGGCTCCGAACTTTACGCAGGAAACAGGTAGGTTTTCTTCTTATAGGTCTACAATAACTAAAAAAGTTGTCAGCTACCTAGATTATTGAGTGCCACGAGAAAATCCTTATTAGCCTGGACTAATATGGCTGGACAAGCAAGTGAAGAAACAAACTTCATATATTATGTAAACTTTACTAACAAAAACATTGAAAATAAATATTCCTATAAATATAAATAATCAAATTTCATATTCAAATACAGCAAAATATTTGGGTATTGTCCAATAAATATAAATAATCAAATTCCGTATTCAAATACTGCAAAATATTTGAGTATTACTCTAAGCTTTTATGTAAAGAAGAAAAGAAAATAATAGTTCTGATTGCAATACAAAAAAATGTACTGGCTGATTGACCAAAAATTCTACGCTGTTTCTACATAATCAATTATTATTATATAAGCAAATACTGAAACAATAGTATTATTATAAAAACAGTATAAACATTTAGAAGGAAAATTTTACAAATCAACAGAAAATATTTCTATTCATATAAAAATTTAATCAAATTATAGGTACTTATTATAGGTACTGCTTATTTATATAAAATTTCCTCAATCGGAACATAAACGTCTTCGTGAACTACTTATTTTAAAAACAATTAACACACTGGTTTGTCAAAAGTCGAAATAAACCCTAATAATGTTATTCAACATTATTTATGACCCACCTTCGAGAGGGTATTATACTTCTTACCTTACCAACCTAACCGTGTCGGCGAGAATCCAGAAACTATCGACAAGGACAGCCTGTACTGGCCGAGAGAGAAAGTTACATTTAGCAAAATTTGAGATTTTAAAAAAAGTTTATACCAAATAGCTGCTTTGTGTTACACTTTATGTTAAAAATAAAAACAGATTCGGAAAGTGGGTCAAATTCTGTAGTGCCCTATTTCAAAAAAAAAATTTTACGGTTATTTTAACCAAAAATATTTGAAAAAAAAATATTGTTTAAACAATTTATTAATTTACAACCAAATAGTGCACTAGAACTTTTTAAGACCTTTCATATAAAAAAAGAATCATCTCAATATCTGCCATAGTTTTTGCGTTATTTGATATAAACTTTTACATTGGAACTTAGGTATGCCCAGAAACGCAAGGAACGGCCTTAACTGAACATTGTTAAATAACCATTTAAAATTTAAAAAAAATCAATCATTATTTTAAAAAGCAATGATTCATGTAAACAACATTTCTATACATACAAAAAAATTAGTCAATATTTAGAGGAACCGTGGCAGCCCTGTAATTTAAGCTAAACATGAATTCTGCAACCCCTCCAAATTGCGCAAAGTTCACGTCTATTGCTATCCTAGGCGTGCTGTAGTGGGATAAAGGAAAGAATGCAGTAGCATCCTAATACTAGGAAAAAAGGACTGCAAATATGTTTTTAAAAAGTATTACCATTGTAAGAATGACAACCTATGCACACAGACTTCAAACTGTAAACTAAAAATAGAGCGTGAAACTTTCTATGGTCAACTTCAGGAGAATGTTGAGAACCTAATCTATGGATATCCACTTTTTCACCTTTTCATCTATATTAATAACAATGAAACGTCGAAATGTTTGCACGGGCATCACTTCAGAACGTCTGCACCAAATTAAATACTTCTTTTTTGTTGTGGTTTGTCTTATTATTAGGACAAGGTTTGTGTACAAGATAATTTTTTAAAAATTGTACGCAAGACGTAGTTTTTCTGTTTTCCGTTATTTTAGGTCACAATATAACTAATAAATGGCGTCATTCTATAATTAACACAGAAAGCTATAATTACCAAAATAAATGCCAGTATTGATAGATTGGCATAACGACACAACTATATTTGGTATTGCGTTTCCAAATATTAACGATGAATATTGTTCTGAAGCTATTTTCTTGTGGCATTGTAAATTAATTACTATTAAACTGGGAATAAGCCACAATTAAAGATAAAAATACGTTTATTGACGTTTCAATTTCCACTTCGGAAATCGTTCTCAAAATACAAACAGTAAATTAAACAAATTTTGTTTTTTGTTACATAGTGAAAAATTCTTCTAATAATTTAATTTTATCTGACTCATTTATATTGACAATTCAGACATACATTATGCATTTTAAAGTAGACGACTTTAAAATGATATTGCCAATATTGTTGAGTTGCGCTCCTGGGACGACTTTACTTATAAGATAGTTCATTCGATTACATGAAATCAACTTTAACTTGAGAATATCCGTCAGAAAAAAATCATAGCATGTAATTCGTCTTTAAAAAGACAAACACATGACATGATGACAGTAAAATTCTCCTGTTAGTGATTCCATAGTAAATTATGAGGGAAAACCAGGAAAAAACCTCATAATACTATCCCGACATTGTAAGTATTTGTTCGTGAAATTAGTTTACCTTCAACAAACATCAAAATTCTGATTTTATATGTTACGTTATTTAAAAAACATATATGATGTATCCTCTATATGTTACTGACTTACTAATACTGGTATTTTCTTATTAATAACTTCCTCTTTCAATATTGGTAACCAGATCCTACTACATTCTGCCGAGGAATTTGCATGTAGTCCTAAAAGAAACGGATGGTAAAAAAAGAAAAATCAAAGAAGCGGCTCTAATTATGCTAAATGAGGCCAATTGTGTCGCAAATTCCTCGGCAGAATGTAGTAGGATCTGGTTACCAATATTGAAAGAGGAAGTTATTAATAAGAAAATACCAGTATTAGTAAGTCAGTAACATATAGAGGATACATTATTTATGTTTTTTAAATAACGTAACATATAAAATCAGAATTTTGATGTTTGTTGAAGGTAAACTAAATTCACGAACAAATACTTACAATGTCGGGATAGTATTATGAGGTTTTTTCCTGGTTTTCCCTCATAATTTACTATGGAATCACTAACAGGAGAATTTTACTGTCATCATGTCATGTGTTTGTCTTTTTAAAGACGAATTACATGCTATGATTTTTTTCTGTCGGATATTCTCAAGTTAAAGTTGATTTCATGTAATCGAATGAACTATCTTATAAGTAAAGTCGTCCCAGGAGCGCAACTCAACAATATTGGCAATATCATTTTAAAGTCGTCTACTTTAAAATGCATAATGTATGTCTGAATTGTCAATATAAATGAGTCAGATAAAATTAAATTATTAGAAGAATTTTTCACTATGTAACAAAAAACAAAATTTGTTTAATTTACTGTTTGTATTTTGAGAACGATTTCCGAAGTAGAAATTGAAACGTCAATAAACGAATTTTTATCTTTAATTGTGGCTTATTCTCAGTTTAATAGTAATTAATTAACGATGAAGTTTCAATATATCAGATAGAAAGATATGTCAATGAGGCCGATTGGAGAATTTCTTCATTTTCCATACACGAACGTCATCCGACTCTAGTTAATTTAGCTATTCACCTGGTTGTTCACAAAGAAAAGAGCTGAACGATCACCAAAGAAAAAATTGAAAAGTTACCTTTTTGTATTTTATTAAATTAAATAAAAATTAAAATAAAATAAAATTAAAATTATATTAAAATAAAATTAACATAGAATTAAAATAAAATGGAATAAAGTAGAGTAAAATAGAATAAATTAAAATAAAATAGAGTCAAATAGAATAAAATATAGTAAAATAAAATTAAATCAAACAAAATAAAATTGACATAAAATAAAATAAAAAAAATAAAATAGAGTAATATAGAACAAAATAAAGTAAAATAAAAGAAAATAAAATAAAACAAAATAAAATTGTTTAGTCATTTCCTTTTTGACTTTATGAAAGTAAACGTCAGTTACACAGAGAACAACAGTTCAACATTGAAGAATTTGCCAGAATAGTTTGTACACCTTTTCTACAATTGAATCAACAATAAAAGATTGCGAGGGATTATTTGATATAAGCTGTGAACATTGGATCTGGTGAAATTTACGTCCTTGAACCTCCGGAATGGACAGATAAAACATTACTAATTTTATTGTTATTGCCAAGGATCAGATCGCAGTAGTCCCACCGTTGCCTTTATCTGGAATATCTGCAACTTTATTAGAAGGCGGACGAATTGCACATGTTGCCGTGAAATTACCATTAAACATACAAATTAATGTTTTAACAGACAGAAATGCAAATTAACCGTTTGGGACGAATGTACATTGGTCCACAAGAAGTCATTACAGGCACTGAACAGAACTTTAAAAGATATTCATGACAATCAAAACCCTTTTTGGTGGAGCCATGATTTTATTTTCAGAATGTTCCTTATTTATTAATTATTCCCCGTGAAGACGAACCAATTGACAAATAACATGATTTGAATGTTAGCAACATTTGAATTAATTCCAACAAGATGAAAGTGCAATTGCGTTAGATATTGGAAATGGTAAAGTCGCTATTCACACCTCAACCGGATTCATTTCATTACCCAGAGATTTCTATTACTTTACAGTCTCGAAAGCTTATTGAACTTTCGACACATTATTTAATTCTAAGGCGGTACGAAGTTCGCCAGGTTAGCCAGTTTTATATATTTTAAATTTTACATAGATTGTAGCATTTAGCATACCGAAACAATCTGACTATAAATGATGTGATTTAAATCGTCTGATATATCACATGACATATTTCAAATAAAATCGAATTAAATTGTAACTTACCTTTAACAGAACCGTCTTTCCATTCGTCCTCTTTAACATGACCTGTGTGCAAACGCCCAAGTCGGTTATATGATCACACAATTCCTGTAAACACAACGAAATGTGCCAAAGACATCCCAATTTCGCATCTATTATAATATTTGGTTGGAATACTACCCAATTCGGTGAATCTATTTAAGTGTTAAGGAAAATGGTGTAATTGAGAAATCTGAATATTATTCGGACTAAATTTGGTTAGTAAATGTTGACAAAAAAGTATTTTCAATAAAAAATTTCAGTTTCAATCGTCTACTCGTTTGACAAGTCAGAGTGCCGTTATAGCGGCAGTGTTGGACCTTCGAGACCAGATAAGTTTGGCAACGTCGGTGAACACCTCCTATAATATAGAAGCTCTATATTATAGAAAGTCATGGCGTCAGCATCGTAAAAATCTCGCAGCGTCGGTGAAACCTGGTCTTAAGCAACGGGTTGGCATAAAAATAGATACTCGAACAGAAACGTAAAAACAATAGAATGTCTATATTAACTAATATGGTACATTCAACCAACTTACACCTCTAAACGATTACGGAATATTCGCAGAAAACCTTTCGTTGTAGTAAAAAGCATGGTAAACTGCACCGGTGTTCTTCATAATGTTTAACACTTTGCTAGATTTTAGGTATAAAATAAATATATGTGTCATTAACCCGTTGTTCATAGTTTTGCACATTTTGTTACATTTTTGTTACATATGTTTAACAAGTGCCTACAAGGAGAAAATATCCCAAGAGATTGGAAAGTCTCGTACATAAACTCCATCTACAAAAAGGGAAACAGGAATGACTGCAGTAATTACCGAGGTATCAGCATTAAGTCATCCACTGGCAAACTGTATGAAAGAGTTTTGAAAGCCAGAATAGAAAAAGAAGTCACAGAGATCGAAGAACAAAGTGGATTCCGACCAGGGAGATCTTGTGTCGACAATGTATTTACTCTCAAACACCTAACGGAAAAGAGATTAGCAAGAGGACTAGAACTTCATGCCACTTTTATAGATCTCCGTAAAGCGTTTGACTCCGTACCACTGCAGAGACTATGGACAACATTGGAAAACTCAGGTATAAATGCAGTATATATAAATGCCGTGAAAAAGCTATATCAAGATAACCAAGCTTATATTAAGGTTGGAAACCAAATTTCCAAGGGTTTCACCCAAACAAAGGGTGTCAAACAGGGCTCTTGCCTCTCTCCAACCCTGTTTAAAATATATCTTGGTAATGCTTTAAAACATTAGAGGAGAAAATGCAGCCCAATGGGCATATGGGTAAATGACACTCCTATATACACAATCCTCTTCGCAGACGACCAGGTAGTTCTTGCCGAGGACCTACAAGATATGACGTACATGATAAACAAACTAATAGACGAATTCAAAAAATGGGGATTAGAGGTTAATACCGAAAATATACATACGAAAATACAATACATGAATATAGGAGGCATCGGTCAAGACATGGAAACAGAAAGCGGATTAATTAAAAACTTTGATCAGTACGAATATCTCGGAGTTATACTAAGCGAAGACGGGAGAGACGACAAAGATATAACAAGAAAAATATGAAAAGGAAAAAACATGATAAAAACACTACATCCGATCCTGTGGAATAAAACTTTAACTAGGAAAACAAAGAAAAATATATATCAGGCTATGATTCAGCCGGTGCTGACGTATGGGTCAGAAGTGTGGGTCTTTAACAATAATATGTCACAAAAACTCCTCTCAACGGAAATGATGTACTGGAGAAGATGTTCCGGGTTAACTTTGTTTGACCACATAAGAAATGAAAACATAAGAGAGAGAATGAAAGTAAAGAACACAATAATGGATACGATAGCCGAAAAACAATTAAAATGGTATGGACACCTGAGACGGATGAACGAAGAAAGGATACCACGAAAGGTTTGGAACTGGAGACCTACACAGAGAAATAAAAGGGGAAGGCCAAGAAAGAAATGGATATTCAATATTCATATAGAAATGGAAAATAGAGGTCTTCAAGAAGGAGACTGGGCCGATAAGAAATTATGGCGATTGGGATGCGAGAAGCGACAAAATTAAAGTTGCAAACACTCGCTATATATATATATATATATATATATATATATATATATATATATATATATATATATATATATATATATATATATATATATATATATATATATGTTACATTTTTTAATAAATAGTATTATTGCATAATGTTATTTAACGTAAATTTCTTTCACCTACTTGTTTAACAATTTTTTCTGAAACAAATACCACAGTACTAAGGATAATTTATATTCAAAGTAGATATACATGGATATTTGCAAAGGGTGGAATTAAAGGAATTTGACAAGACAACAGCATAAAATCAATAAAACACGCAGGAAGCCCACACAAGACACATCATTCTTCATGAAGGAGAGAAAGAAGGCTTTATAGAAAAGGCAGATTTGATTTTTTCTTTAATATCAAAATCTGCTGATTACCATGAAAACATGAATGCAGATATGATTGTTGAATGGCTCGATGAGAAACTTTTACCTAGTTTGAGTAAAACATCAGTTATATCAGTTAAGTGTAAAAGTGTATAACACATGCATACTACCTGTTTGTACCTACGGCTTGGAGACAGTAGCACTTACCAAAAAATCTGCCAAAAAATTAGAAACAACGCAAAGAGCAATAGAACGAATCATGCTTGGAATATCACTAAGAGACAAGATTAGAAACACCGATATACGACGTAGAACGAAGATTAGGGATATTGTGGAAGAAATTACAAAAATGAAATGGCGCTGGGCAGGTCACGTAGCCCGATATAATGACAACAGGTGGACACGGAGAATTCTAGAATGGAGACCAAGGACGACAACAAGAAGCATGGGAAGACCTCAAAAAAGATGGGTAGATGACATAAGAGCGGTGGCAGGCAAACAGTGGATTAGATTGGCGCAAGATAGAGAAAGATGGAAGTAATTGGGAGAGACCTACATTCAGGAGTGGATGGAAAATGGTTGACAAAGAAGATCAGTTATAGTTTTAGATATTGCACCTTACCATTCGGAGATTTTGGAGAAACAACCAAAACAGTCGTGGAACGTACCAAGCATAAAAAATTGGTTAGTTAAAAATAATATCAATTTTCCGGAATACGCCTTCAAATCAGAGTTACTGGAAATTTCGAAACGTAATGAAAAACCAGTTTATATATTTGACCAAATTGTATTAAGTTATCGACATCAAGTACATCGAAGACAACAGCAAAAACCTGTACTGATTATAGAACCATCAGTTTGTTAAACCAATTATTGAAAATTTTTCTGAAGGTAATACACGATCGTATCTACAATAAATGTAAGGAATACCTGGATGACACTCAGTTTGGTTTCCGTAGCGGGTTTGGAACGAGAGAGGCACTGTTTGAAATGAACGTACTTGCTCAAAGATGTCGTGATATATCTGTAGACATATACTGTTTTTTATTGACTTTCAAAAGACATTTGATCGTGTTAAGCACTCTATCTTGATCGAAGCTCTAAAAGACATTGGCTTGGACGGCAGAGATGTTCGAATAATTGCAAATTTATATTGGAATCAAACATCAGTTTTAGTAGATGGTGTGGAATCATAGGCTCTTAATATTAAAAGAGGAGTACGGCAGGGATGCCTCTTGTCATCCCTACTTTTTACCGTTTACTCCGAAAGAATTTTTAGAAAAGCACTTTCTGAAAAACAAGAAGGAATACTTGTGAACGGCGAAGTCATCAATAATTTGCGATATGCGGACGATACAGTACTCCTATCTTCTAGTCAAGAAGATCTGCAAACACTGCTTGATAGTGTCGTTGAGAGTTGTAGGGAGGCAGGTCTGGATCTTAACATAAGGAAAACCAAAATACTCGTAATAAGTAAACAACAGCATATAAAACCGTCTACATATACCAAACTTGAGCAAGTTGATAAAATCGTTTACCTTGGACAGAAATTAAATTGTAGCACAGAAAGTCACGGCGAAACTAGATCCAAGATAGAGCAGGCTAAAGCTGCTTTTAGAAGGATGTCCAAGGTGTTATGTAACAGAGACCTAAAATTGGCATTAAGGATCCGCCTACTTCGCTGCTACGTGTTCTCGGTCTTACTTTATGCTGTCGAGTCCTGGACTGTAAATAAACTCGATCTAAATCGCCTTGAGGCTTTCTAAATGTGGAGCTATAGAAGAATTTTAAAAGTTTCCTGGGTGGAGAAGATTCGAAACTCCACAATACAAGAACGTCTCAGCAAGACTACTGAGATTATAAAAAGCAACAAGCAGAGAAAGCTGGAATATTTCGAACATGTAATGAGAGGTCCCAAATATAGGTTGCTACAAAATATCATGCAAGGAAAAATAGCAGGCAAACGCAGTCCAAGACGAAGAAGAACCTCACGGTTGAAGAACTTGCGAGATTGGTATGGTGTTGATACAAGCATGCTATTTAGGGTGGCAGTGAATAAAATTAAGATAGCTATGATGGTAACCAACGTTCTGAAAGGACATTGTACATGAAGAAGAAGATCAAGTACTACGGTTTCCGTCGTATCACTGCCAGTTTAATCCCATCGAACACATTTGGGTATATGTGAAACGTATTATGAAAACCACGTTGGATGCAGTGGATAAAGTGACGATGTAGTTAAGAAACGTGGCAAGACGCTCTTAAAACTGCAACTCCAGAAATATGGACCAAAGCTGTAAATAAATGTGAAAAATTAATAGAAGATTGGTGGATCCGGGAAAATATTATTAGTGAAATTAATCCAGTGTTTACAGATTTACATAATGATAGCGGTAGTGAACTTAATGACGATGATGATGTTTTATAAATTTGAATAATCAGTAAGTACACTATTATAATGTTATTTACAAAATAATTGTACAGCAGGTTAACCATATTTATACATTCATTATTAGCCAAATAAACAATAATATTTAAAATTCTAGTTGAATTTTTGCTCCTCATTTTATACAAATTACTGTAACTAATAATACAGGCAAACATATTCTAAACAAAGTAAGTAATTAAAAAGATTATGGAGAATTATTTACTACAACGAAAGGTTTTCTGCGAATTTCATTAATTGTTTAAAGTACTGTATACTACAAAATACACATTATAATGCAATATTTATTGGGACCGTGCAAGTTCGGAACAGCGACACCTGGTGTCGTAAATCAGCCAAATTTACTGCGCTTTCATGTTAGATCGAGGTTACCGGATAACTGTCAAGGACGTGGCCCCAAAAAAGAACAAGAAGAAAAAGTAAGATTGAGGTTATGTCGGTATTTTATTAAAAGGTAAACGTTGATGTAGCGTAAATACAAATAAATATATTATTGAATTACAGCATTACTGTTAATATGGATGCAATAATAAAAACTGGATTTGAGAAAGTAAATCACCAAATAACTTTTCAACCAAGCACGAGTCAAAGGGAAAAGCTTTAGTAGTGGCAAATGTCAAAAAAGAATGGAAGAATTATGTGGAGTGGAAGAATTAAGAAAAATAAATTACCATAAATAATGCTAATGCATAAATTAGCAGGTTAAGCCCATGATATCATCATATTGGTTTGAACAATTAATTCTTTCCCTGTAAACTTTTGGACAGCAAATATAATCTCAATGCATCTTCAGAAAAACTTGAACTTGATGCATTTTTGTAAACTTAAAAAAAAATAAAATTCAAACATTAAACTTGATTTTTGGGTTAAAATGAACTCTAAGTGAGTGTTATGAAACTAAAATTTACACTTAAAAGTGAACTTTTATTTATTATTTATTTCAAACTGACTTTAAAATCGGGTGCAAGAATAATGCATAATTTAGGTTATGTTACTTATGCTTTTTTATGATATAAATTCACTTTTCTCTTTGTAGTAGCTTTGTGCTTCGAAGTTGGAAACGAATAAAACTTAAATTGACAATTTTTTGTTGTATTTTTACAATTTATAACACAGCAAATCCTAAATCCCATTTTCTTCAGTGACCGAAGGTGTAAATAAACAAAACGAATATGAAATATGACAATTGACAATATGAATTTATAAAATCTATAATCTATGAAATGTACAGTAAAAAATGCAAAATTTCTCCACTACTCGCGCACGATCGTTTCTCGTATCCCCTCCAAGTACTTGCACGTCGCCAATAGTGTAAAAAAGGATACATAATTCGCACATGTGTGTTTCATTTGCCATGAGGCCAGGTAAGGTTAGACTGGCAGGTTTCATTGATTTAGCAGGAGCTATTGGTGAATGATAGTGTACAGTACCGTCACTCTCGCTTGGTAACGAAATATCAAATATCACAGAGCTTCTTGAGGCCTAAACAAAAACAAAAATATGTTTGAAAAACAGAAATTGTGAATTTTCCGACATTTTCCGATTTTTCAGGGGAATGAAAATCATTAAGTTATTAATATTTTGCCGAATTATCATCATTAAAAAAAATGAAGGTTCTACGTCTTCTAGAACCGGACATATTGCAAATTTTTCAGCGCGCTGCAATTTGAAGTTCCAATCTCAAAATCTGGCGAATTCCAAAGTTCTTCCCTACAAAGCACAACTCAATCTTGGCAGCGTGCGCTTGAGAACCTTCACTTTAAAGGGCTGCTACTTATTCCAAATCATATAAATTGCATACTTATCAATAATTTCATTATAAAATATAAAAATTCATTTATAACCTATGAAATTTCAACTCTTAACATTAATAAACAAAAGAGATATGATTTTTTAAAATCAAATTACTAATTTGGCTTCTTTTGGTTAAAGAAAGGTTTTTTTTATTAAATGTGTGACACAACCAGATTTTCGGTCCGCCTAATTATTACAAAGACCAACCATAAAAAATCAAAAAGTTATTCTATTTGTTTTTTAGAAAAACATTGCTTTTTTAACGCCTTATTTAAATACATTTTTTGCAAAGATAATTTCTTTTTCTTTTTCATGTATCTTTGTAGTTATTTTCAAGAATATTTTGCTCTTTGTTAAATAACTGTATAAGCATACCGTATACCGCATACCGAATAATTCGTTAATTATAAATTATCAAGGTGGTATATGTTATTTATGGCAATTATTACAAAAATTATAAACATTTATAAAATACTACAAAAAAAATAGTTTTGCCATTATATTATTATTATTATTAAATAATTTTGCAAAATTATTGATGGATTTGAACTTTTAAATCTTCAATTGGACCTTCACTTCATAAAACGAATATTTTCGCAATACAAAAATTGCTCCTAATTCAATAAAACAGAAAAAGAATAAGAAATTGCATATTTGGACTTTGTCTGTTTTTCATTAACTATGTAAAGCTATCAGATACATGTAATAAATTTTCCCGTGAAATCGATCATGTTTTATTTCTTAAGTGGGTTAATACTAAAATACCAAATGTAGTTTCCTGTTTTTTCCAAAGAAAAATAATTTTAAAAACAATAAAAAATGCCGGAATTCTTTTGTAACTTAATACTTTCTTCAACAAGTAATAAAAACTGATAAAGTACTTATTAATAAGTTGTTAACTACCAGTAAAACATTTTAGGGAATCACCTTGATTAATTTATTGTCTGATGACAGCTAAATTCGTTCACACTTGTTTTCTAATCTTAGAAAAATTGCAGTAAACAAAATACCGAAGGGTCCATTCTTGATTTATGCAGTGTTTAGACGATCGTAAAATGTCAATTCCTTGTCCTTGAATAAACGTAGTCACATTAATGAAATAATTAGCATTTTAGGGAAAATGTTTCAAAATGTTTGGCATTTTAAACGTCGTCAATTGTTTTCAAAATGTTTGGGAGGCTATGAGTGCAATACGAACGAATCCCAATATTAATAAGTATTAGAACATGGGTTTAAAAAAAAGTGAAAATTACGAGATCCACCAGATTGCATCAAAGAGTTTATTACTACAGAATGTGTATAAAAATATCAGAGGTTAGAATGTCTAATCCCCTTCGTCGTTAAAAGGGCCAATTACTTTACCTCCGGCTGTTTGAGCTTAAGATCTCAGATTTTTATAAAATTCATGATGTATAGGGGGTATCAATTGCATTAAATGAAGAAGGTCTTCTTTAGCTTCATTAATGGTATTACCATTTGGATACAGAAGTGACAATTCCATTGTATTCTTGGAAACAGATTTCCTTTTATTAAGCTCCACTGTTTCAAAATAACCATCTTCATTGTTCTAATACTTATATTGAAGAGTATTGGGAAAGTCTTTCCTAGCCACTCTGTGTTGGTTTTTGATTTCTGGTTAAGACCAATCCTAACATATGCAGCGGAAACAAGGACCGATACAAGAAAGACGAAACAACAAATCAACAATATCGAAATGAAAGTATTCAGATCAATAGCGGGCATATCATTAAGAGACAGATAAACCAACAGAAGTAGACGCGAACAATGCAAAATTCAAAATATTAACATTTGGATAAAAACAAGAAAAAAAAACTGAAACGAACATGTAAACCGAATGGGACCAGATAGATTAGCGAACATCTGTAAAAACAACAAACCGTATAGCAGAAGACCCGTTGGAAGGCCGTCAAAAAGGTGGAAAAATAATGTACAGTCAACAACGACTGAAACAGAATAAGAAGCAGACAAAGAGGAATAATCCTAATCGCACAAAGAAGAAGAAGAAGAAGGTTATATTACTTTCGAACAATTTCGTAGAAAAAAATTTGATTTGTCCTTGTTTCTTCCTGTGAACGGATTTTTCTATCTAGCATACTTTATCACTGTATGCCAATTTTGGGGTATAAATACATGTGAATGGAATGTCTTTTCTTTTTCTATTATACCAAAATCTTGTTCAGATGGCCAGTAAGAATGATCACTTACCAGAAACTTGTGGCCTATTTCTTCTACTGTAAAATCTGGAGATGTAGTTCTATAATTGCATAATAATGACATTTTAATATTACGTATATGGCCGCCACACAAGCATAAATGAGTTGTTAGTTTCCATTTCATGAATATTAAAGCAGTAGGTCCATAATTGCTGCTTGTAGTAACAAATTTCTGTGCTAAGCATAGGTGTAGGTAAAGTCGTCATCAGATCGAAGCAGATGACCGAGCGTTTCCTTTTTTTGCCATTTCTGTGTCTCTTTTTAAAGAATCTCAAGCACTATTCGCCTTCTTTTAACGAAGCTCTTTTTCAGTTTCGATTTGTTTAATTGATTCACTATTGGCTGCCTTTATTTTGACTTCAAATAAATCACACGTCTTATAAGAGTCAGCAATTTGTGGATGAAAGTGTAAATTATATTCCGTGTTGAACGTTTCTCGGAAAATAAAATAGGATAGAATAAATATATTTTACAATAATTAAAAGCAACAATGACAATTTACAGAAAGATCCAAAAATATCAATCAAGAATGATAGAAAAACATATATCTGTCAGCAGCACAGTAAACTAACCGCACATGGTCCACTTTGCTTCCTTAGGATCCTATCAAATATGGAGTTCCAAAACTACTTTAGTGCAGCCATCTATTAACAAAAAGGAAAATGTGGAGTGGTCCACTATGCAGCTGATATATTTCAATTATACAGTTAATATTCTACAATAAAATAAATTTTGAATTTTTGTCGATTGGTCCGTTATTGACTCATAGCCTCAATTCGACAAGGCGAAAAGCTCGGGTTCACTCGGAAAAATATTCCCATCAAATTTGTTTGCCTAATCACTTTCCTGAGATACCACAAAATAAGGTTCAAGAGGTCGCACAGGCGAAAAGTTGTTCAAAGGTGATCGCACATATCTTCGGGAAAATGTAATGTCACATTCGTCTCGGAATTTCAATAATTTCATACCATTGAGCCAACTCTGAATTTTGACTAATAAATAATAATTAATATATACCTGAGATAGAATAAGAAACGATATTTTGTTAATCGTCAGTTCATAAATCTTTTTGTGGGTATTAACGCAAAATACCATTACCAAAGTAATCTCTAATCGGATTAGCTCACGCTAATTTAAGCTGTTGATTAAAGTTGATTTAAGCTGTTGAATTAGATCTCACTTCACTAATTTGAATTTCTTCTGACAGCTGTTCGTTAACACGTATTTTTGCTCGCTGTTTATAGTATAAATTTGATATGAACCTGAGGTCGTTGTAGTCAATCTTCTTTGATTTCAGGACATTCATTAATTGTTTATGTCGTACTTCATCAAATGCTTTATAAAACATGCGTATATATCTTGATTGACGTCCAAGCATCTTTGTATCAGTATATTAAGTGAAAAAAGAGCTTCACGCGTTCCTAGGCCGTTGCGAAAACCAAATTGTGTATCACCAAATTGTGTATCAACTTTAGTACATAAGACATCAAGCTAATGGAGCGGAAATCGCTGCATTCTCTTCCGTTTTTCTTTTTGGGAGACGAATAAAAATCGACGTTAATCACTCTTTGGGTAATACGCCTGAACTATAAACTTGGTTTAGTCTAGTGACACTAAGAGTGTCACTAAAACATCAATGGGCTTCTAATCTAGAATTTTTAGGATTTATATAGGAAGCATGTCAGGTCCAGGGTTTTTCCAACTCTTCATTGTTTTTAATGCGTGTAATATTTCTTCTTTTGTAATATATGGACCTATTTCTTCTGACGTAAGTTCTATGTGCTCCAGATCTCCTCTTTCATCATCGAACAATTCGTCGATATATTCTGCCCATCTTTGTACTTTCTCGTCCGTATGTGTTAAAGTAGTCCCGTGTCTATCCAGAATTGCACGAGTGGGATTTTGTTTTCTTAGTCCTGTCAGTTCTTTAACTTTCTTGTGTATGTTAAACAGATCATATTTATTTTGAAAGTGTTCGATCTCTTTGCATTTCTCTTCAAAGTATTTTTGTTTTGCCTGCTTTATCATCTTCTTGATCTCGTGGTTTATCTCTCTGTATTTATTGTTGTCTTTGTTTTTAAATTGTCTCCGTTGTTCCATCATATTGAGTATCTCGTCATTCATCCATTCTTCTTTTCTCCTTGCGGAAGTCTTTAGTATTTCTTTACAGGGTTCCAGTAGACAATTTTTTAGTCAATTACTCGTCAATATCATTGGTGTTTGTGTTTAATTTGCTGCAGTTCATGTTGGAGGGATTCTTTTACTTTAGGTTCTTTAAGTTTTCTTGGGTCGATGTTATTATTTGATGTCTTTAAATATTTTTAAGGGTGAGCGTAAACTTGGCGATACGTGGATTGTGTATAGAATAATAATAATAATCTTTATTAATAGCACATGGCTAGAAAAATATACATATAGATACATCAATTTATACCCTTAAAATTAAATCACAAT